CCCGGGGCATGCCCCCCCCCCCCCCCCACCGCCCTTAGGTGGGACGGAGCTGTGAGAGGAACTCGGGAGTGTCTCTCCCTGGTCCTTGCAGAGGCTCTGGAGAGTGAGCTGCTTCCCTTTGACATCAGAGGAGGGAGTTGTGTTTCTGCAGTTCTAACATTGACACCGTAGGACCTGTGCAGTTTAATCAAGTGAAACTAGTGTTAAAGAATGAACCAATTTGTTTTCAATTGTTCTGATACCTTTTTACAGACTAAGCGCAAAAAAGAGTTTTGCGTGAACATAACCTTTTTGTTCCTCATTTTTTAAAGGGTTCTGTTGTTAAAATTTAGACGTATGTATAAACAAAGTAATGCATCATATTCAGGTATCTTCTGTATTTAACATTTTATCCATATCATGGCCCTGGCAGATTTGGCCTCATTGATTTCAGCGTCTAAGGAGTGAGAGTACATTGGATGGTTTTGAATCGCACTGTGGAGCTTGATTGTTTCAAAGTCGGTAGTTCTCTGTTGAAAAGCTTTCAGTCTTTAGCTTACTCCTTAATTTTGGGACGCTTGGTTAATTAGGGGCAAGAAGACTTCCCATTTGAAAGCAATCTCTCTTGGCAGAGGCCTTAATATTACATCATAGGGAAAAATAGACTTCATCTGCTGTTCCTCCAGTTATGCCTTAAATTTATTTGCTGAGTAATCCTGTCAACAAGCACTACTCTCTATGCTTTACACACGTAGACAGTTTGGATAGTGGCTGAGATTTTGTTGTCTTTTAGTTTTTGCTGAGGTGGAGTCAGTCAGATGTTAGTCACAGCTAACACTGACTATGGCGTCATTTAGACAGTTACTGATTTGATCTGCTTTGTTTATGAAAACATGGTTCTCACTATTTAAGAAGGAAGAGTTGGTTAAATGTATTCCCCTCCTCCCAGCCCCCCCCAAAAGTGAATGAATTGTAAATGCTAGGTAGTCTCATCAGGAACAGACATGGAGAGAATTCTAGATGCCTTAGCCAAACCCCACAGAAGAAACCTTTCACACAGCTTCTCATTGGATACAGACTTTTCTTTCTCTTCCTGTGCTTGGGCTCTGGTTCCCTTTGTTTGTACTGATGGAGAACTGTCTTTCACCTTATATTCTATAAAGAAGATCGTATTCTAAAGTCTGTCTTTCCTGCATTTGGCTATTCTTGCAAGTTTGGTACATAACATGGAAAGGAGAGGTGCGGCTGGCTGACGTCAGCGTCACTTCCTGCCCTTCTTCAGGGCATCCTGTGCGTAAAGGCCGTAAGGCCGAGGGACAAAAAGCCCCAACTTCTGCATCCAAGAAGTTAGATTCGACTCTTGATTTTCCACAGTAAGGATTATCGCCAGCGACTTGTGAGTTTGTCTTTCCTTTAGTTCCCCAGGCGTTAAGGCTGTGCTCCCGATTCCTGCCAGTAAATTCAGGAAATGGGAATGTTTCTGATACTCCACGGAAGAATGTGATGAAAAAGGAGACTTGCTGGGGAAAGACATAACTGTGCATTCAGAAACCACATCCTTCCGGGGGGATTCTGGATGCTCTTGTTCATTCTTCATTAGCAAAGGTGATCGAGCCTTTAATTCATTTATCTTGGGCTTTGTTTTTTTTGACCCACATTATTTTCCCTATTGTAATGAGAATATTGTTTGAAAATGTCATACTCTGTATTTCTTACTCTGAGAAATGCTTTTGTATGGGTCTTAGGTTTGACGCTGCAGTAGTTGGCATACCCAGTAAGGGATAACCTAGTGACAAATCACTGAAAATGCTTCCTTTGTTACCTCAAAAGAAAAAAATTTCCAGACAAAATATAGCATTTATATTTATAGAAAATGGAGGATTGGCTGTTTTCCAAGAACTTCAAGTTAATTCTTATGCAAGAAAAAGTTCTTAACTCTAAAGACTTTTTCTACATAAGGAGACACTCTTTAATAATGGAAGAGGTGGTTTTATTTTTACAACAAGCCTACTCATATTACCAAACCTATAACCAATTGCTGATCTCCTGTGTAAAGCATTTTTTCTCTTATCTGAAACAGTGATTTATATGAACTGTTGGAATAATGGAACCTCAAACTACAGATGTGTATGTAAAATTGCATAAATGCACTGACTTCCTTCTCCCTGAATATATTTTTAATAAACAGCATTATCCTACATGGTCAGTTTTATTAAATTATGCACAACCAGAGGGTTCTGAGAAGTGGTATGCTTGTATGGGTGGCTTTGGAAAGCTTCCTAGTGTGGTAAGTAACACAGTAATCTTAGCCTTTTTGGGAGGCAGATAGTGGAGAAAGTTATAGGAGCCAGATGTATTCAGAGAGATGACCCGAATACTTGCTTGTTGGTGGAGAGAGATGGGCACTTGCGTTGTAAGCTACTCTGCAGTGGTGAAGTGGGACCCCTGGGGTGGGGAGATGCTTGCCCTTGTGCACAGACAGTAGAGCCTCCTGGTTGGAACCCCCTGAAGTCTCTGTTCTTGGCTTTCATGACTGGTTGCTCTGCCCTTGACCAAGGTCTGGATCATCAGCCTATTTCACTGAAACAGAAAAAGAAAAGTCAAATTGATTTAGGAAAACAAGGGAGGTGAGGGATTCGTTTGCTCGTTTTGTTTTTTGTTTGTTTTTTAAGAGTGGTGATTGAATTTAGGGGTTTTTTTGTTGTTATTTTTAAGAGAACAAGTGAATGAAATGTATACATTTCATATACTTTTGTAAGTACACAGCACAGCACACGTATATATGCACTTGTGTATTATTCTGTATTGTCTTGGTGTAACTGCCTAGGTATAACCATATTTTTCTCTTGATGAATCTCTTGGTCCGTGAGACGACTAAATTCCAGGTGGAGGGTGCTGTGCAATACAAGCCTACCACCAGACCGGCCTGTACGGGAAGTCTGTAAGCACCAGAGCATCTGTATCACCAATTCCAGGGTGGGGCCGTGGAGCCTCACAGTTTTGGTTGATGTAATTGGCATGTTGAGTTATACAGAGGTTTTAAATCTCAGTGGCAGTTGTTTCCACTAGAAAAGTGTCCCTTCAGACCCTCTTGAGACCAGTGC